CTGGAGCTGCAGATTTTCAAGAGCTTATGAAAGAGTATCAATTCGGGAACATATGAAAAGAGATGTTTGCTGTGTTATAAACTGCACTCGCACTTTCATTTATTGATACAAATTAACTGATTATAAATCTATATCTGTATGTAGTGATGGAAAAAAGAAACGCAACACCTCCACACTCTGGCCCTCCCGTCTGCATGAAACGGGCTGAAGTGTGACTCATCCATGAAGAGGACCTGATGCCACTGCTGACGAGTCCATCAGCCCCTCCGTCTGGCCCGAACCAGTCCGGTGCGACATCTAGGAGGTGTGAGGAGAGGACCTCTGACAGGTCGCCTTGCTCTAAGGCCAGCAGCATGGAGCCTGTGCTGTGCTGTGACTAATGCAGGCATCAGCAGTCTGCTGGCAGTTTCAGCAGCAGTAAGGGCTGCAGATCTGAAACGATCTCTCAGATGGACCAGTCTGATGTGTCGGTCCTGCTCTGGTGTGGTCACTCGAGGGCGACTGGATCCTGCCGGTCTACTGAAACCTTCTCTGCAGTCGAGACACAGTGGAGCAGCTTACTCCATAGTGTCTTGCACATGACATGCCTGCCTGCAGCATACCAATGGCCCTCTCCCTTACTTCTGGTGACATTCGAGGCATTATGAAATGCACAGAAAACTGACTAAGTGTGGCCTTTTTCTTGAAGTGACCTTAGCTTTGAATTAAGGCCTTTTTAAAGGTGACCTGATCAGGCATTTTTCCACCTGGACCTCGTTGGGGAAAAAGTGCACCTAACGAGCTTTCATGTGATTGGCAAGTTGCAATGCCTCACTGCACAAGATGTATTGCTGGTCAGAGGGCTTAAAACAAATTGACAACTTTTTGTGAAAGTACATAAGCTAAAACTACAGTATTCTCATTCCAGAAAATGTTGTGTTTCTTTTTTCCATTTTTTTTGATGACAATTTATTTTCACCATCTTTCAGGAGCTGTTGAAAAGAAAACGGTCGATTTCTTTGACACCAGTTATGAAGAGACTGAG